GCACCTGGTCTTCAGCGTGAGCGCCCGGAGGGGGAAGACCCGACTCCGACCGGCGAAAGCGCGTCAGGAATGAATAAATATCACGGCTTTTGGCTTAAGTGTGGCGGAGCGTGTCCCTGCGATGTGTCCCTGCGTGCTGGCAGCTGCTGAGAGTGAAGTGATAAGCGCACCTTATTTTTTCTTTTCTTTTTTATATTTTTTTTAATTTTGTTTTTCCCCTGTGGGTATCGAACAACCATCAACGCGCTTTTTTTTTCCCCCCCGTTATTGTTATTAATAATTTTTCACTTCATTAGCGGTGTAAAAACGGATTGTTGCAATATGTTAGCATACTAAGAGGACCGTGTGATAACCTGTGCGTATGTTTGGAGAGGGTGCATGAAATTCCGAGAGGAGTGTGCAAGGAGAACAGAAATGAGCAAATGTGCATACAATCTGACTCTAGAAATGCACTGATCCATTCTTAGAATGGAAGAGGAAGCAAAGTATACACGTGCTTTGAGTAACAATGTAAATAATCAGAAGTATGAATAATAGGGGTAGTAATCAGTATTTACTGTTTTCTTCTTCTAGGGGGCTAAGGGAATAGCTTAAGAGAAAAGTGTTGTTCTTTAGAAGATACCACAGATGCTAATTTCTCCCATTACATCAACTGCTTAAATGTTATAAGTCATGCAGAAGTTGCTTTATTGTGGGCAGAAATTATGCTTTTCAATATACTGTACAAAAATATTGTGAACTATTGAACAGGTTGTTCATAGCACGGTAGTATTTGCTAGACTTGATTAAAGTATTGGACCATCAGGCTTAGTATTCTGCTGCCAGCAGCATCTACTTCCTGATGCTTTAATCAAGAGTGGTATCAGATGAACTGAAGTAAATCACAGAGTTGAACATGCCGGTGATGTAATGTAAGCGCTACTAACTGCAAATTTTGACATATTGTGACAACTAGGAGAGCATTTTGCAGAAAAAAAAATAACTCTGCTTATCTGTAAAAATAATTTAGTTCTAATATGAAGAATTTTCTGGAGAAGCTGCAGTAACATACAGATTGGTCTCTATTGTGCTTGTTTTTTTCATGAGCAAATCAAAGTCAGAAATGAGCTATGCTAAACTAACTAATTCTCTCCTTTCTCCTAAGTGAAGCTATAGGATCAGCCTTCAAGTAATAATGTTTTCTTGCACTGTTGAAGGATTGCAACTGCTTTGGTGACAGTCACAATGAACGAATTGCTGGGGAAGTACGGAGGAGGAAATAGGATTGTGTATATAGCTTCATTATTAATAAAACTCGATTATTTACTGCCTGTTATTGGAATTCTCTGCAGTTCCACATTCTTTAGTTTCATGCTATATCTTGAAAACTAATAAGTTGTCAAAGTCTGATCCTACAAAATATTGAACAATTTCTTCAGGTTCTTAATGTTCTTATCTTCTGTTCGAGCAGGGAACTCTCAGCACCCACAAAAAGTCTTAGGTTTTAAGAGCAGCATGGATTATTAGGATTACCTAATGTGCATGACAAATGATGGAACTTCACGTGGAAATAAAATGTCTTGCTTAAAAATGCTCTGCATCCTTCAGGTTGGTGACCTGCTCAGAAATGGGCAACAGTTGTCCAAACCCAGAGAATGTTTGTCAGAGGCTCTAGCTGAGAATGGTTACCACAAGATTATAAAACCTAACAAGGACAGGAGGAGTGACTACCTCTGAAGATAGAGTTTTTCAGAAATTGTGTTTATAAGCAAGTAATCTTTTTCATATCTATAATAAAAATTGCTCTATCGGACTTTGTCCTTGAAAATCCTGAAGTGATGATTGCTTTGGACATAAACAAGCAATGCAGAAGGATACTTATGCCAAGGACAGGTAGAAGAAATTAGATGCAAATATTTGCACTTCAGATTTCATTCAGCTAGGAGGAAGGTTTCTCTAGAAACTACACAGGTTCTGAAGGGAGGTGTCTATTTGCATTTTAAAGAAAACAAAAAAGCAAAACCTATAGAAATGTGAAGCATATAGTTGGTTGGTTTTTTTTAAAAAGATCATTTCATAAGGTCAAAAAACTTAAAGTTTTAACAGTCCTATTTAAAAATTTTGTAAACCAGACCCTTCATTTTTTAATAGAAACATGTCAGTGTTGAGATATTGTTACATGATAGAGTTATACTGATGTAAAATTATCACATAAATATTTGGTCTCGTTTTTTCTTTACTGGAACAAGAAATAAAGGCATAACAGTACACAACTTCAAACAGGTTATGGTATTTTCACTACACCAGAACATCAGTAAGTAAAATAGTATTAAGTCTGTTTACAAGATCCCAAAGACTTGCAGATTTATGTGGGTTTTGTTGAAAAGAACAAAATTAGTTCTAATATAACCATTTGATATGAAAGGGAGGTATAAGGCCCACAAGGATTCAAACTTACTGCATGAAGTTAATCTGCTGTTTAACACCAGTGAAGTCCTTTTTACGTTCTTACAGTTGTTTCATTTTTCTAGCTGAATTCAACCACCATGAGGTCTTTCAAGAAAAAAGGACAGTGCTTTGTTCAGGAGGTGACCAAAAAGTGCATTACTACTCTAATAGTGTGTTATGTGCCAGCTGAAATAGAAGCTAGAACATTCCTGAAAAACAGGAAAGTGGTCTCTCCCCGTTCCTGCACACACATTCCTGTGGTTAATCAGCATTTTAAATACCTTGTGAAGTAGATGCTGCCATGTCACACTCAAGGTATGGGATACACATGGACAAAGCTAAGTTCTCCGTTGCCTTCTTTCATGTGGAGTTGATGAAATAGCTACTTTTCGTAAAATCAGCCATTGAGGGTGTTCTCACAGGGAGCAGAAATTCAAATCTGATTTAGCAGACTGGCTGGATTGTGTTAACTGATCCACAGAAGGTTGTGACTCTTTGTTTATGAATTGCTGCTCTTCTAGATGCTAAATTGCTCAACTGTTAATAGTATCAGAGCATAAAAAGCAAGACCAAAAGTCTGAAGCAAGTCCTAACCCTTGAGATTCTTGTTATCATTTGCCTTTACAATAAATACAGGACTACTGCAGAACAGGCTGCCTGACATATTTTGTAGTAGAAAAAGGCTTTCAAACAAGAAATAAGTAAAATTTAATCTACTCTGGAAAAATAAATTCCCAGTTCTTGAGCATAGAGTGGAAGCTCTGTTACCTATGCTGTCCACAATGGGCAGTAAATTAAAATTTAATGGAGATTTTCCTGTGCATGTATCAGAAAAAAAGAAAAATCAACAAACCCAAGAACGTCAGAGCAAGATTCAGATTATGTGGTGTTATAGGAACTGGAAACAAAATAAAGACTGGTAAACCAAGTGCCTTTAAATAAGTAGAAAACATCATGAAAACCTAAAACTTTACAAATGCAAAGGAAATCTAATTATTATTACAGAAATTATTTCTCTTCTATACCAAAATAGATTTCAGGCAATAGAGTGATTTCCTATGTTGACTTTTTTCATTTTCATATTGGTTTCTCCCAGAGTTCAGTTTACTTCTAGCTGTAAAAAGGTAAACATCCATACTAAAGTCTTAGGTAGTATTATGCCCTATAACAAAGAAATGTTAAGGAAAGGGGTATTTTCCTGTTTGTTTACTTTGTATCTCTGACACAACTCTGTGGATTTTTTTTTTCATTGCTGTTATTTACTACTTTCCATTTGTTGTGATTCAGTCATTTAGAGAATAGTTGGGGGGGGTTGTTTGTTTATTTGGACAATAAAAACTAGTGAAGATATGCAGAATAAATCTGATGCAGCTTTATTTTATGAAGTTAATCTGATTTCAGGTTGATAGTACTTCAAGTTTGGGCCTACAATGGTCAAGTCAATATTGTATTTCTACTTATAGACAGAATTGATTTCTATTTTGCTAGTGTGACATATATATCTTAGAAAAGACTTAATTTCATACTTGATAATATCAAT